AAAGCCACGCCCCCACCCCTCAATATTTTTTACAGGAAGTTTCCCCCCACTCCACCCCGCGTCTAAATCCTCTCCCCTCTGCCTCGAAACCCCACCTGGCCGCCCTCGAGGTGGAAAACGGCCGCATCCGGACTCCCGACTCGTCCCCGCCTTCCCCGCGACGTCCGCCGGCCGAGCGATCACTCCAGTCCGAGGCTTGTAAAAGCCGGCTTAGGCCCCTCGTATGCCGACAGCTGCGCCAGAGCGCTACTCTGAGAGGGCACTTCCGGCAGGAGGCTGGCGTAAGCGGCACGCGAGGGAGCGGGAGGCTGCGCAAACTTCGTAGCAGCGAACGGAAGGAGACAGGCTCTCAAATCTGGACGCTAGACTTGGAAGCGCTGACTTTGCCTTCCGATAGTTTCATTTTTGGGTGGGCGGAGCATGCAAAAAGGGCAAAAAGCTGCCTCTTATTTCGGGGAAGGGAATTCTCAGAGGGGGTTGCCCAAGATTGCAAGAGTTTGGAAAAGCTTTTTGAAAAATATATTTAATTGGAAAAATTAAAAAACATATTTTAATAACAATGAATATATATTTTAAAAATAAATATACCGGTATATAAAAAAATCATAATAAATTTTTTACATTTTTTTTTCATATGTATTTTAATCCGTTATCTGCAGATTAAGACGTTGCACAGTGCTCCTTATTGAATGTTTATTTAAGGTAATAGCATGTTTTTCAAAAGTATAAGCTGCACGGTGAAAATATGCCTTTTCAACGATGCATCACTAAAGATTACTTAATAGTCCCTATACATGTTTAATGTGCTTACGGAAATTGCCGTTACGTTTCCATAACTCATTAATAAATATAAATATTGCTGTGTAAGTGTTAAATCACAACCTAATCGCTCTTCAGTGTAAGAAAGACTTCTATATTATTTTCCCTTTCTCTCTTCCTTATTTTTTAATTTAAGAAACAAATAATCTATCCTTTTCCTGGGATTTCTTTTTCAATTTATTGTTTTAACCGGATTCCAAGTAAAAGGTTAAATACTTAGATGACCTCCCCCACATGATAATAAATAGATAAACAGGGCTCCCTCTTTAAAAACTGCAGTGAGGAACCTTTTTCAATCTGAGCCACATTCTCTTCATGGGAAGCTTCCGGGGGCCACATGTCAGCAGAGGGAGGGGTAATAATAATAATAATAATAATAATAATAATAATAATAATAATGTATTATTTATACACCAACCATCTGGCAAAAGCAGGCCCAGTAAGACAGGCTTGAGGGGCCTCCATTTGTTTTCTGGCCTTGAAGTTTGGCACAGGATGGTGATGTTAATCTAGGGGGGTTTGTGATGTGCCCATATAATAACTATATAGAGATATCTCAGGAATAACCCACACAGGTCTGTCTGTCCTAGCCAGCATTGCTCTTCTCTGGCAGACAGATTTCTTTTTTAAAAAAATATCATCCTACCATGGTGAGATATTTCGCATGCATTTCTATTTAAATCACAACCATTATTTTAAATTGTTCACCTGCAAATAAATGAGCGTGTGGGACTTTGTGCAAATCTGCCGCCCCACCCCCCATGATGCAATTCCTCATTTTCCCAATGCAGAAACAGTCACATTGCCTATATACCGTATTTTTCTCGCCATAAGACACACCTGACCATAAGACACACATAGTTTTTAGAGGAGGAAAACAAGAAAAAATAATAATCTGAACGAAACAATGGATGTATGACTTTTGTGGTTCATGCTGTGGCCACAGACATGTGATCTTATGGTGAATTTGGGGTGACCCAATGCAAAAATCCTGAGGATCCATGTGGATCCGTGCTTTGTAACCACATTTTTGCACCATTGCAGCCCCACGCAACAGTGGATGTGTGATTTTTTTGGTGCAGGCTGTAGCCATGGACATGCTATGTGATCTGATGGTGAATTTGGGGTGACCCAATGTAAAAATCCTGAGGATCCATGTGCTTTTACCTCCCCCCTCCCAGGCAGCCTCCGCTAGCCTCCCTTATCTCTCTTCCAATCCCACCAATCAGCTGTTTCCTTTCAACACTCCCATCCCTCTTGTTTGCCTTAGTGTCTTTTCCTTAGCTGGAGCAGTTTTTTTTGCTCCTCCTTTTCTTCTAATTTCTCTCCTTATTGCTTTAGTCTTCCTGTTTCCCCCCTTTGCAAGTTTGCTGTCTTTACCTCCCCTCTCCCAGGCAGCATCCTTTATCTCTAGCATCCCTTATTTCTCTCCCCAATCAGCAAACGATCAGCGGCTTTGTTTCAACACCCACTTCCCTCTTTTTTTTTAAAAAAAAAAAAGCATGATCTGCTTTTCGCCCCTGGGCAATTCAACTCCAGGGACCATGCATTTGCTTCATAAGACGCACAGACATTTCCCCTTACTTTTTAGGAAGAAAAAGGTGCGTCTTATGGAGCGAAAAATACGGTATGTGGCCCTTCACAGACTCTTCTGTCGATAGACCTCACCAAAATCCAAACCAGAAAGGTTTGGGGTTTTATTTTGCATGTAGAAAGTCTCAGGTTCAGTTCCTGGCATCGCCATCTGAAACCCTGGAGAGCTGTTGCTAGTCAGTTGCAGGGCGAACCTCATGCGTAGGTGCTGAATGTGGCCCTCTGCGCTTCTTCATTTGGCCCTCAGAGCTTTCCCAAGCCACACCCTCCACCCTCACAGGCCATGCCCCTTTCCAGCCCTGCTCTGCACCCTTCTTGAGCATTTATGCCTGGCTGAAAAGTATGTCCTTGAACTCTGACCGTGCCTCTCGCTTCCCTGGAGGATAAGAGAAGTGTGTCAAAACTAAGCTACTGTAAAAAGATAAAGGGACCCCTGACCATTAGGTCCAGTCGTGGCCGACTCTGGGGTTGCGTCGCTCATCTCGCTTTATTGGCCAAGGGAACCGGCGTACAGCTTCCGGGTCATGTGGCCAGCAGGACTAAGCCGCTTCTGGCGAACCAGAGCAGAGCACGGAAACACTGTTTACCTTCCTGCCAGAGCGGTACCTATTTATCTGTTTGCACTTTGACGTGCTTTCGAACTGCTAGGTTGGCAGGAGCAGGGACCGAGCAACGGGAGCTCACCCCGTCCCAGGGATTCGAACTGCCGACCTTCTGATCGGCAAGCCCTAGGCTCTGTAGTTTAACCCACAGCGCCACCCGCGTCCCTTTAAGCTACTGTATAGAGGCCAAATTTGCAAATTTCGCCTACTGTTGGCTATGGCCAGGGCCGTCTTTAGCAGATGTGGCATCGGGGTGCAAATATCCGCCCAGCGCTCCCAAATTACCACGGATAGTGGCGAGGTGGGCGAAGCTGCACACTGCCAGCCATGGGCAAGGGGCGCAACTCTCCCCCATGCTGCTGCAGGAGAGCATTCCCCGCGGAGGCTTGGGAAGGAAGCTGCCTGCCTGCCAGCCATATAGTTGGTGGGGTGCAGCTTCCATCCTAAGCCTCTGCAGGGATCACTCTCCTCCTGCCAGCCATATGGTTGATGGGGCGCAGCTGGCAGGCATGCAGGTAAAGGGGAGGCCGCCGGCAAAGCCGCGCAGCTCCCCCACTCGCTAGGGCGCCCCTGAGAGGCCGGCGCCCTAGCGCAACGCACCACTAAACCCTATGGGAAAGATGGCTCTGGCTGTGGCTCTGCCCATTGCTGGCATGCAGCTTCTACAAAGTTAAGCCAGCTTTCTGAATCGCTCCTCGTTTTATGATGCTTTGTCCTAGGTGCTTAGCTGATGGTTAGCCCTGTCCCTTTTTTTTTTTTTGATGGAGTAACAGGTCCTTCCTCCTTTGAAGCCTGCAAAGCTCTGTGAAAATGGACCCCCTATTGTTCTTCAGATAAACCCATCTTCGCCCACCGGCTGCCAGTCTTCCCTGCCTCTTCAGAAGCTAAAGCTCTCTGCTGTCTTCCTATTATTATTATTTTTAGTAAGCTTTGCATTGTGACATATTCCGATTCTTTTTTCTGCAGGCATGTGGGAGGGAGGGATGGACTGGCCTGTCAATCCCAATTTTCTCTGTTTCTCATTTCCAGGGCCTTATATTCAGCTCCCCACATCCCTAGAGCAATCCTCAATTTAAAAAATAAAAATAAAAAAGGAAAAACCTCATGAAAATTTGCCAGCACGAGTGTAATTTCCCCCTGATGCGATTTTGCTTAATCTACAGCAGCGGTTCCCAAACTTTTCCAGGTCTGTCTGACCCCTCTGTTCCATAAACTTATCCCCAGTCCTCCTTGCCCTACCCTATAAAAAGCATTATTTATAATAATGGTTGACTAAGGAAGATAACAAATGTCCGTATAGTTAAAGCCATGGTTTTCCCAGTAGTGATGTATAGAAGTGAGAGCTGGACCATAAAGAAGGCTGATCGCTGAAGAATTGATGCTTTTGAATTATGGTGCTGGAGGAGACTCTTGAGAGTCCCATGGACTGCAAGAGGATCAAACCTCTCCATTCTGAAGGAAATCAGCCCTGAGTGCTCACTGGAAGGACAGATCCTGAAGCTGAGGCTCCAGTACTTTGGCCACCTCAGGAGAAAAGAAGACTCCCTGGAAAAGACCCTGATGCTGGGAAAGATGGAGGGCACAAGGAGAAGGGGATGACAGAGGACGAGATGGTTGGAGAGTGTTCTCGAAGCTACCAGCATGAGTTTGACCAAACTGCGGGAGGCAGTGGAAGACAGGAATGCCTGGCGTGCTCTGATCCAGGGGGTCACGAAGAGGCGGACACAACTAAACGAATAAACAACAAGGAAGATAACGGCACCATAAAATTCAAAACAGTGACAATTAATTGCACATTTATTCAAAATCCAATAAAAATTATTGAGTTTAATTCATCATTCAATAGAACGAGTGAACTTCATCCAGGGATACCAGCTTTTCAAAGTCTGATGGTCATTTACACCTCCAGTGCCCCCCCCCCGCCATCTCCTCGCCTCTTAGCACCCCCCCCCTTAATTCCCCCACCGAGGAGACAGTGTTGCCTAGTTTGGGAACTATTGATCTACACCTTTTTGCTATGCGATTCCCCTTAATACAGTGCATTGTGTGTGTTGTTTTCAGTTAAATATGCATTTTTATGCACGCTTTACACCAACACCTGTGGTTTTTGTACAAATTACTTGAGGGGAGAACTGCATTGCAAAAAATCAGAGAAGTGCTAATTTCAAAGGTTGGTTGTGTTTCATTCTTTCGGAATGTGCAGATTTGGGAGGTTCCCCTCTAAAAGTGACCGAGAAACGCATTGGAAAGATGAGCGAAGGATTAATAGGAAGGCTTACAGCCTCTCCACAAGCAAACGGAAACAAATGCAATCTAATCTCCACATAAGCTTTGGTGTAAGCAAATCAGGATGATCTGAATAAGCAGCTCACCTGGAGGAGCCTGACAACACCTGTCTTTGTCCCTGGGGCAGATGGGAGTTGTAGTCCAATATTTGGGGAGGGCGCACGTAAAGGAAGGATATTATTAGGTGGGCTGTGATAGCTAATGGGAATGCATTGCCCATAGCTGATGAGCAATCAGGGAGCTCCCCACACTACTGAACCTTCACTCAGTAGCACGGCAGTTTATATAAGGCCTCTGGCCAATCAGAGGTTCCCACGACTCAGCCAATCAGGTTTCTGGAAATTGTGACAAAGAGTTAGTTACAAATCCTGAAAAGTAGGCAGTTGAGGAACCACTGAACGCAGTTGATTTAAGTGCACCAGATTGCGCTGTTAAGTGTAATGGACTCAGCAGAGAAAATGTGCCTTTGAACCTTGATGTAAGGTTGCCAACTGACCAGAAATAAAAGCTGCTCTGGAGTGCTCTTGTGCCTTTAACAGCAGCTTAGCCTGCAGGAATCAGGTGGTAATGTTCATTGCAGCGTGGGAATTAAGCAATTGTGGGTTAGGTTGAGGATCATGCTGCAGTTAGAGGCATGAGAGCAGTGATAAGCTGTTCCAACAAATCTTGTATGCTCTGCCTCTTCTCCCTTCAACAATGTCTGTGTCACAGCCAGAGATCAACACAGATAAAGTGCTTTCCTTCCATACAGAATGGGCCAGTTAGGTTTCTACTAACTAGTCACTGGGGAGTAACAGCATATCTTGTTGGTGATGGCAGGTACTTTGTCACATTTGGAGCAGGGAGAAAGAAACAAAAGGACAGAGAGACAAACTCACAAGACAAATTGTCTATTTATACATATGAAAACCTATTAAATATATACACTATTTTGTAAAAATGAAAACACAGTACATTTTGATAATACTGAGTGTTTCAACTGCCCTTATTTGCAGAGATACCCGAGTTGTGTTTGTGCTGTATTTACCATCACAGATCTTTAGTTCATCGACATCTTTGCAGAAATAACAGGCACAGAGGAACAAGCCCTTTTGCATTTTGCATTAAATGATGCCCATAAAGATCCACCCTTACTTTGCGTTAAATGATACCTGGAGGACTGAGCCTTTTCTGGCTACTTAATCCGTGGATGGGGAACTCCAGCTCCCTTCATCATCCCTGACCACTGGGGCTTGGTGGCCGCTGGAGCTCCCTGCTATAGTCAACCCTTTTCACACAGAAAGGTAGAGGAATCTCAATTTCATCTTGATGGAAAAAACACTCTTTAAAAACAACGCCCAACTGCAAGGACAATCAGGGGAATTAAACAGCAGGTAATCTGCATTAAGGGGATCCTAAGAGAAGTCCTGATGGATCCGTCCAAGCCAGGGGTGGCTAACCCATGACCCTCCTGCTTTTGTTGGGCTCTATCTCCCATCATCTGCAGTCAACATGGCCAATGGTCAGGGGGTGGTGTGAATTTGTGGTCCAGCAATATCCAGAAGACCACAGATGCTCCCCCAACCCTGATCTAGGCCCATCTAGTCCAGCATCCTGTGGTCACAGCAGCCCGTCAGATGCCCCTGGAGAAGCAGAACGTGAAAGCAGCAGCCTTTGCTATTGGCCTTTCAGCATTCACAGGTAGACTGCATGTGCACGTGGAGGTTCTACTTAGTTGACATGCTTAACAGCCACTGACCACGCTCTACGGAGAGGTCCGACCCCGCTTTCTTCAAGCCAGAAGTTCGGTTGCCTTGCAGCGAAACAGAGCCAGACATTCTCCGGCAACAACAAATCATTCAGCGAGGCAGGCGATCTTTGGGTGAAACCACCCAAAACTCAACAGGGAGCTGTGTTTGTGTCTCTCTGTAGGCTCCCGCTGTGGGGCATGCGGGGCTGTGCCTCAACGGGAACAGGCATCAGGGGTTGTGTTAGCAAACTCTCCACCCTCCTCACCCTCTGGTCCAGTGACAGGACGGGCCTCTGCCTGATCTGTACGCTGACCCAAAGAAGGAAGGCCTCTGTCGGTCCTTCTCCCAGCAGCGGACGACAGATGCCCTGGCACAAGGGCCCCGAGTGAGAAACCTCAACCGCTACGACGTTCCCCAAACGCACGGGATCCGTAGATGGGGCCCATGCAATGCTCCTGACCCGCGAATAAGGAAACCACAGCATGGCGGTCTTCTCAAGCCTCCTGTCTCTCCTTCCACCTCCAGGGAGACCGCAAGAGATCTGGGCAGCTCCAGCTGGGGTTGCAGCAGAGCAGCACCGACATGATGAGCCCCAGGACCACCACAGAGCACAGCATCCACTTCAACATCCCCGTGTACATGAAGGGGAGGACCAGGACGATAAGGACAGCCACCAGCAGCAGGAGCAGCACCAGCCTCTTAGCCGCTGCCCGGCTTGGTTCCCTGATGGCATCATTCTCAGAGGCGGGGTGGCCATCAGTGAGGCTGGTGCCAGAAGGGTCTGGCGGACAGGGGACCTCGGTGTCCAGGCCAGGGCTGCCCAGCCGGCCCACCACGTCCTCCTTGTCGTGAAGGCTGCAGATCAGGCCTCCGAAAACGACGGTGGCCTTCCGGCAGAGCGGGCAGCTGACGACCCAGGTGTGGTCTTCGTTCCGCAGGATGAGCTTCAAACAGACGGCACAGAAGACGTGCTGGCAGGCCAGGACTTTGGGCAGGCGGCAGGCGCTGTACTGGTTGAAGCAGATGAGGCAATCCATCTCGGCCAGTGAGACTTTGGAGGGGCGCGGATGGCACAGGTCGGCCACTGGCGGCACAGAAGTCTCCGTCAAAGCGGGCGGCTCCAAGGGTGCTGAGGGCACCGGTTCTGGAGTGCCTAACTGGGCAGCATCTGGATCGGGGCCTTCCGCGGCAGGGGAACAGCAACCCTTGCCCTCTTCTGTAGGATCAGCCTCATCTAATGGATCACCCTCCTCTTGGTGTATCGGCCCTTTGGATGTCTCTGGCACGTCCATTTCCACAGCGTCTTCACCTTCTGCCATCCCCAGCTGCCCTGTCTCCCTGCCTGGAGAGACAGTTTCGCTCTCAGTATGTAAGTGATCCCCGGAGCCTTCCATAGGAGACAATGGCAGCCTCAGCGACAGCACAGCATGTGTGCATTTGGAAGCTCCTTTTATAAAGGCGCTTTGTCCGGCCAACACAGAGCGAAGGCTTTGTTTGCTCTCCGAACATCCCGCTTGCTCCGGGAAAGGCAGTGACGTCGTGGTGGTTGTCATTTTAAAAAAAACCAAAAAACCCAAGGCAGGGATAGGCGTTAATCAGTAACTCCAACGGTCACAGGGTTTTATGATGCCCGATAACATAAGCTGGGGAATTCTTGCCCTAAAGAGCAAAAGTTTTTTGTTTGTTTTTTAAACTGAGATCCAAAACATAAGGAGGATGCTTGAGGTTTTTTGTTTTTTTCAGAGAAGGTGTAGCCAGCATTCAGAATCACACAAGTACAGAGTTGAAAGGTAGCGGGTGGCGCTGTGGTCTAAAACACTGAGCCTCTTGGGCTTGCTGATCGGAAGGTTGGCAGTTTGAATCCCCGTGACGGGGTGAGCTCCTGTTGCTCTGTCCCAGCTCCTGCCAACCTAGCAGTTCGAAAGCACGGAGTGCAAGTAGATAAATAGGTACTGCTGCGGCGGGAAGGTAAACGGTGTTTCCCTGCACTCTGGTTTCCATCATGGTGTTCCATTGCGCCAAAAGCGGTTTATTCCTGCTGGCCACATGGCCCAGAAAGCTTTCTGTGGACAAACGCCAGCTCCCTCAGCCTAAAAGCGAGATGAGCGCTGCAACCCCATAGTCGTCTTTGACTGGACTTAACCACCCTTTACCTTTACATTTACCTAGTCCAACTCTAAGCTGCAGTGCAGTGATTACAGATAAAGAATCCCTGGCCGACGGGCATCCAAACTTTGTTGAAAAGCACCCATTGAAGGGGGGGTCCACCACCATCTGAAGGAGTCTGTTCCACTGTCAAACAGCTTGTACTGCCAGAAATGTATTCCTAATGTTTAGTCGGAATCTCTTGTCATATGAGTCAATTGGTTCAAGTCCCAGCCTCTGGAGCAGCAGAAAACAAGCTTGCTCCATCTTCCATGTGATGGCCCTTTAGATATTTGAAGATGGCTATCATATCTTCTCTCGTTCTCCTCTTCTTTCTCCAGGCTAAACATATCCAGCTCCCTCATCTGTTCCTCATAAGGCTTAGCTTCCAGACCCTTGATCCTCTTGGTAGCATATTCCAGCTTGTCGATATTCTTCTTAAATTGTGGCACCTACAACTGGACACAGTATTCCACGTGTGGTCTGACAAAGGCAGAATACAGTGGTCCTCTTACTTCCCTAAATGTTGTTGTTGTTTAGTCGTTTAGTCGTGTCCGACTCTTCGTGACCCCATGGACCAGAGCACGCCGGGCACTTCTGTCTTCCACTGCCTCCCACAGTTTGGTCAAACTCATGCTGGTAGCTTCGAGAACACTGTCCAACCATCTCGTCTTCTGTCGTCCCCTTCTCCTTGTGCCCTCCATCTTTCCCAACATCAGGGTCTTTTCCAGGGAGTCTTCTCTTCTCCTGAGGTGGCCAAAGTATTGGAGCCTCAGCTTCAGGATCTGTCCTTCCAGGGAGCACTCAGGGCTGATTTCCTTCAGAATGGATAGGTTTGATATTCTTGCAGTCCATGGGACTCTCACGAGTCTCCTCCAGCACCATAATTCAAAAGCATCGATTCTTTGGCGATCAGCCTTCTTTATGGTCCAGCTCTCACTTCCATACATCACTACTGGGAAAACCATAGCTTTAACTATACGGACCTTTCCCTAAATGTATCCAGACACTAAACTTCTGTTGATGCAGCCTAGGATTTCATCACCTTTTTTTTGTTGCTGCATCACACTGTTGACTCCTGTTAAGCTTCTGGTCTACCTAGAAAATAAAATAACTCCAGGCAAACAAGAAGCAATTTCAGAGACTCATGAGTGTTTTGAGGGACCCATCACACACAAGCACAAACAAGCAGAGCTGGAAATTCCACACAGACTCCAAATTTGACCCGAAATGACCAGTTCCCTCCGGATATTCCAAACATCTGCATATTTTAGTTGTGCATTCCAGCGTTTAGGGATGCTTTAAGGAAATCATCAAGTCTTGCCAATGATTTGAAGGCAATGTCTAAAAGTAACCCAAAGTTTCACAGAAACACCTTTGTGTGGGCGTGTTTTGTTTTCGATTAAAAGAAAAGGCCTTGCGGCGTTCTAAATTGGGGGTGGTTGGGAAAACAAAAATCAAAGATATGGGGGGGGGGATACAGGGTGTGGAGGGGATTGTATTCAAAGGCCAATACAGTGGTACCTCGGGTTACATACGCTTCAGGTTACATACGCTTCAGGTTACATACGCTTCAGGTTACAGACTCCGCTAACCCAGAAATAGTACCTCGGGTTAAGAACTTTGCTTCAGGCTGAGAACAGAAATCGTGCTCTGGCAGCGCGACGGCAGCAGGAGGCCCCATTAGCTAAAGTGGTGCTTCAGGTTAAGAATGGACCTCCGGACTGATATGGAAGGGGGGGCATGTCTTCTTCACCTTCTTCTTCGCTACAATATATCCATTTATTTCCAATTGTCAATGTCAAAAGGGACTAAAATCTATAAAATTCATAGAAAATCAACGTGCCAATTTGCTCAATTTCTCTAGGACTCCATGACACCTCCCCTGTCCTCCATAATCCCTCAAGCAAGGTGTCAAGACCCTAATCCTGTCAAATCACTCTGCCAAGCCTTTCCTCCGGGCAATGCCAGGTGGCAGACTATGCATTGTGCTTATCTGCGCATATCTCCAGCTCTGCATATTCCCCCCTCCCTCCTCCATATGTTAATCCCGTGTAACCCAACCACTTCTTAATGTATTCATGATGTAACTGGGATGTATTTTGCACTGTATTCTGGGACATGGAGGGAAGTTTCAAAATTTCATGTCACCCCTTTCTCGCTGTTCAATCTCGCCTTGAACCTGTTGCGCAATAAACTTGGATCTTCTGCAGCTTGCTCCTGTCTCCGGCTGAGCTCATTTTCCTCGCAGGGACCCGCGGACTTAGTCCGATGAGCTGGGTGGCAGAGTAGCCCCGCACCCAGATTTTACCGTAACAGGAACAAATTAAGTACGTTACCAGAGGTACCACTGTAGAAGACAGCTTCGGGTTTCTTTGCAAACTACCTTAGGCTGAGAGAATCTGCGCGGGGAAACTTTACCACCAGATTTCTGTTTGTCCGTCAGTTCCGCAGTTCCAAACCAGTGGCAGGAAAAGAAACCCTGCCTAATAAAACTTCTCCCACCTGGTGCCCTCTAGATTTTGGGGGCTGCAATTCCCATCATCACCCCTGAGCATCGGCCATGTTGACTGGGGCTGCTGGGAGAAGGGCCAATGTCATCCCCAAAGCAGACAGTCGCTTGCCATTACACCCCCCAGCTAACGCCATCATAACTCTGTCATCCTTCAATGCAGGGATCATAGAACTGAGAACTTGTGGCCCTCTAGATAATAATAATAATAATAATAATAATAATAATAATAATAATAATAAATTTTATTTATATCCCGCCCTCCCCAGCCGAAGCTGGGCTCAGGGCGGCTAACAACAATCAAAATAATCCGACATTCTAAAACATTCATTATAAAATTAATTAAATCAAATTAAATTAAAATCAAATTATGTTGTGGGGCTCCCATCATCATCCCTAACCATTGGCCCTGGTGGCTGGGGCTGATGGGGGTCAGATTCTGACATCATCCAGGGGACACTAGGATAGGGAAGGCTGGCTTAAGGTATCAAAGAATCATAGAGTCTTAGAAAGGACCCCAAGAATCATCTATTCCAGCCCCCTGAAATGCAGGAATCTCAGCTAAAAAAATCATTGTCGATGGATTCCCACAAAGAAAAGGCGGGTGCAAAGCTGATCAGTTCATTTTCCATTTCCAAATCTGGAGCAATTTCGCCTGCAAATTCACCCACAACGGGACCACGCGAGACCAAGACTCAAATCGTTGTGCATTCGTACATTGGTTTTTCGAACAGAATTTGTTCCGGAAGTCCATTTGACTTCCGAAACGTTCGGAAACCAAGGGGTGGCTTCTGATTGGCTGCAGGAGTGTCCTGCAGCCAATCAGAAGCTGCGGAAGCCATGCTGGACGTTCAGCTTCTGAGGCAAAGTTCGCAAACCGGGAACACCTACTTCCGGGTTTGCGACGTTCGAGTTCCGAGTTGTTCATGAACCAAGCTGTTCGGAAACCAAGGTACGACTGTAGAGCACTTCCTATGCTAAAAACAGTTCAGTAAGAGTGGCTGGGGGGAAACCAGCCAGATGGGTAGGGCATAAATAATAAAATTATTATTTATTATTATAAGCGTGCACCCGTCATTTTCTAGCTAGATGGCCAAAGTCTTTCCACAGGAATTGTGGAATTCCCACTCTTCCTCCACGGGAGTTGTGATGTCACTTCCTGGGTGGAATTCCGTTTCCTGTTCCGGATAGCGCATGGCCAGTTCCTTCCCCTCTACGTCCTCCTGGGTCTCAGAACCTCCATCTTCCTCCTTGGTGAGGCACATCTTCCCGGAAGGCACTTCCGAAACGGACCCCACGATCACCGTGTCAGCTCTCATGATGTATATTTTTTCTGGGGGGGGGGGGAGAAACAGGAAACAGTATTACTTCCCCCTCCCTCAGTCACACATAAAGCATAGCTTCAGGTGGGGAAAACAGTTGGGGATTCAAAACGTTTCTCACTTCATTTTTAAAAAAATGTTCTTTTTGCAAAAAATGGATATGCAGTGGTACCTTGGTTGTCGAACTTTTTTTTTAATAGTTTTTATTAAGAATTTCAACATAACAAATTATCAAAACGTATCATCTTCATTCCCCCCCCTCAATTTTTCCCCTCCCCAAGAAAAACCCTCCCTCCCCCCCAAGTCTTCCCTCAGCTCCTCTCTGATTTTTCAACACATGTTATTCTCTGCATATTGTAAAATTGTAAAGATCCTTCAATTATGTGTCTATTATGCTAACAGTCTATAAATTTGTGTATGTTTATTCAAAACCTGCCAAGGAGTCCAATTCATTTTGTTGTTTTTTTAAGTAGTTTGTAAAAAGTTCCCATTCTTCTTTAAAGTCACAGTTGTCCTTGTCTCGCAGTTTGTATGTCAATTTCGCCAATACAGTGGTAAAGTAAAGTAAAGTAAAGGTAAAGGGACCCCTGACCATTAGGTCCAGTCGTTGTCGCCTCTGGGGTTGCGGCGCTCATCTTGCTTTATTGGCTGAGGGAGCTGGCGTACAGCTTCCGGGTCATGTGGCCGGCATGACAAAGCTGCTTCTAGCGAACCAGAGCAGCGCACGGAAATGCCGTTTACTTTCCTGCCAGAGGTACCTATTTATCTACTTGCACTTTGACGTGCTTTTGAACTGCTAAGTTGGCAGGAGCAGGGACCGAGCAACGGGAGCTCACCCCGTCGCGGGGATTCGAACCGCCGACCTTCTGATCGGCAAGTCCTAGGCTCTGTGGTTTAACCCACAGCACCACCCTCGTCCCTTAATACAGTGGTACCTTGGGTTAAGTACTTAATTCGTTCCGGAGGTCCTTTAGCTAATGGGGCCTCCTGCTGCCGCTGCACTGCTGGAGCCCGATTTTTGTTCGTATCCTGAAGCAAAGTTCTTAACCTGAAGCACTTTTTCTGGGTTAGCAGAGTGTGTAACCTTAAGTGTATGTAACCCGAAGCGTATGTAACCCGAGGTACCACTGTACCTTGGTTGTCAAACTTAAACCATTCCGGGAGTCGACTACCAGAACCGTTCGAAAACCAAGGTACAGCTTCTGATTGGCTGCAGGAGCTTTCTGCACTCAATCAGAAGCTGTGGAAGCCGCGTTGGCAGTTCGGCTTCCAAAAAAAAATTTGCAAACCAGAACGCTTCCGGGTTTGCGGTGTTCAGGAACCAATTTGCTCAGGAGCCAAGCCATTCGACAACCAAGGTACCACTGTCTTATACGATCTGTAATGGAGCACTCACTCCAGCAGGAGGCAGTGAGGGTCACTGAACTCAACGGCTGACTCACCGATGTGGTTACTCGTGTGGTTGTGCAGGGGGGGCTCCACAAATGTCCCTCCGTCCATCTGAAACAGCTCATCACCTTTGGGACCAAGGGCAGGAGTGTTTTCCATTTCCAAGACGGAGACGCCGTCAGGGGCTTCTGCAAGGGGTTCGGGATTCAGCTGGTCCCCCTCTGCTAAGCCATGCTCTTCAGAGTCCGGCCCATCGATCCTCTCCTTGCAAAGACAGAAAACCAGGAGATCAACGGATGAAGGGTCTATCCTGCGCAGGAAGGCAAGCCATCCATTCTCACTGCCCAGTTCTCCCTCTCTGGCTTTCCCCACCGTCAAGATTTAGGCTGCATAAAAGGTAAAAGGACCCCTGACCATTAGGTCCAGTCGCGGAGGACTCTGGGGTTGTGGCACTCATCTCGCTCTATAGGCCGAGGGAGCCGGCGTACAGCTTCTGGGTCATATGGCCAGCATGACTAAGCCGCCTCTGGCGAACCAGAGCAGCGCACGGAAACGCTGATGCGGTGGCAGCGGGAGGCCCCATTAGCTAAAGTGGTGCTTCAGGTTAAGAACAGTTTCAAGTTAAGAACAGACCTCCAGAACGAATTAAGTTCTTAACCCGAGGTGCCACTGTACCGCTCGTCACCTGTAACCAGTAAAGTTGTGGCCTTTTTTAGCCCATTAACCTTAATAATTGTGATGTGTCATTATTTCCACCTGGGGGGTGGGGCGGGAACTCGCCACACAATATAAATCACAAGTAAAATGTAGTAAAATTTCACATTGCAGTGTACGCTCGGGTTGCAAACGCGATCCGTGCGGGAAGCATATCCGCAACCCGCAACGCTGCGTCTGCGCACGTGTGGGTTGCAATTCGGTGCTTCTGCGAAGGCGCAAAGCACGATTTAGTGCTTCTGTGCATGCGCAAGCGCCGAAACCTGTAAGTAACTTGTTCCAGTACTTTGAGGTTCAGTGCGGTGTGCAAACCAAAACCGTGCAACCTGAAGCGTCTGTAACCCAAGGTATGACTTTACAAGTATCTTCACATTCTTGCCAGTGACTTTCAATTTTTACAGTGATCTTTTAAACAAAGTAAGAATTTATTCCAGTCCTTTTCAAATACTTGATCTTCCTGGTTTCGGATCATTTCTGTCAATTTCGCCATCTCCGCATAGTCCATCAGTTTAGCCTGCCATTCCTTTTTCTACGGTATTTCTTCTTGCCCTCCCCTTCTTTTCTTAGCTCCAGTGGTTCCTGAACAGTTTTTTAAATAGCAACAGCTGGAAACAGAAAGCTTTATTTCACCCCTCGATATGCTGAATTGCAAGGCAAGGGATCATACTTACTTCGCAAATCTTCGCCGGGTTAGAGGCTGCAAAAGAGAGAGAAAATGAGAGGAGGGATTAAATCTCTCGCCATTCAACGTTTCTGCATTAATTTCTGGAGATGGCAATCCCAAAAGGTTTCCCTCTCCCTACACAAACAAAGCATGCCATTCTTTAATTAGGAAAGGTTTCTGCCAAAGAAGATAATTGATGGCCTCAGACTTTCAAATTATTTTTAAAGAAGGAGAGATTGTTTTTTATTTATTTCATAAAATTTATATGCATTTATATTTCATGAAATGTGTACATGATTGTAAAACAACAACAAAAAAAGCAAAATCCCATCAGTGGTTTACAAAAAGAATAAAAGCATGAAACTATCAGTTAAAAGCAGGTAAAAAAAACTATTCAAAATTAATTAAAATCAGTGGCAGGCAGATTAAACACCTGCCGGCATTCTACATGATATAGGCTTTCATCAAAACAAAATGTTTCTAGCAGATGATGTTTTTAGTAACATCAAGTACGATCCATCACTGTACTCTTTTTGGCACCGGCCAAAAACAGTATGGTTTAGGCAAGCCTACCCAGATGCGGGTGGCGCTGTGGGTTAAACCACAGAGCCTAGGTCTTGCCGATAAGAAGGCTGGCGGTTCGAATCCCCGCGACGGGGTGAGCTCCCGTTGCTCGGTCCCTGCTCCTGCCAACCTAGCAGTTTGAAAGCACGTCAAAGTGCAAGTAAATAAATACCGTATTTTTTGCTCTATAAGACTCACTTTTTCCCTCCTAAAAAGTATGGGGAATTGTGTGTGCGTCTTATGGAGCGAATGCAGGCTGTGCAGCTATCCCAGAAGCCAGAACAGCAAGAGGGATTGCTGCTTTCACTGCACAGCGATCCCTCTTGCTGTTCTGGCTTCTGAGATTCAGAATATTTTTTTTCTTGTTTTCCTCCTCCAAAAACTAGGTGCGTCTTGTGGTCTGGTGCGTCTTATAGAGCGAAAAATACGGTAGGTGCCGCTCCGGCGGGAAGGTAAACGGCGTTTCCGTGCGCTGCTCTGGTTCGCCACAAGCGGCTTAGTCCTGCTGGCCACATGACCCGGAAGCTGTACGCCGGCTCTCTCGGCCAATAAAGCAAGATGAGCGCTGCAACCCCAAAGTCGGTCACGACTAGACCTAATGGTCAAGGGTCCTTTACCTTTACCCAGACATGTAGAAGGCTGATGTGTCCTTTAATCTGTTTTTCATTTATTGCTGTGTTTTTTATAAAAAAAAGTAGTAGTATAATTTTTATGAACTCTACAGATAAAAATAATAAAAATGGATTAGGAAAACCCATAGAGAACATTTGTCAACGGCTCTGAGCTTAAACAGAGCCTCTGGACTCAGCACCCCCAGGTAGGGCCGGCGATGGTCCTTGCCAGAAATCCTGGAGAGCAGCTGCCAGCCCGTGCAGGCAATACTGAGCTAGATGGACCTATGGCGTCCTATGTTCCTCCGATATTCACGCAAAGCAATGCATGATGGGCTACACTGAGCTCCTAGGACAGGGGGCACCTGAAAGTACTCAAAATATTATAAGTTGCATCATGGTGCCCAAAACAAAGGGAACTGTGCCACCTACTGTTGCAATGAAGTCATGACAAGAGCCCAACTCGACCAGAGCTCTTCCGTCTTTTACTGAATTTGTGGGCAGGCAACATGAATTCTTGTCTCTCTAAAGAGCTTTTGACATGGACATTAGCTTCCCCCGGGATTTCAAGAGCTCAGCAATGGAAAACCTCAATAAATATGCTTTTGGCTGTGTCAGTCAGTCAGTTTTATTGCACATAGCCAAAGGCTGCCGCAATGTACACAGAATCATTCAACAATTGAAAGACAATATACTGGATTGATACAAAAAACGTGAAACATTTATATTATCAAGACATTACCTACTCTAAACAGAGCTATAAAAGTACCTTAATATACAGGTTAAAGCATTAAACAATAAAATTTATAGGTTAAAATTATCACATGGCCACTAATATATTAAGAAATAAAGTTAATTAATACAATGTGCAATTATATTCAGAGTTTGGTGATAAAGATAGAATATAGCTTGATGTAGATAGGGTCAAATAAATTCATCTCCATTACAGTTGGTGGCTGTCTTGGCTATATAATTAGCTCTAATTTTCCTAGCGGCAGCTGCAAAGCATGCTACACGCCAGGTCACATACTTATCTATGTCTGCGAGGAGATATAAAATAATGTCAGAGGGGTTCTGGCTAGGGGACCTTGTCATTACAAGTGCTAAAAATTGTTCTCTTGCTTCATTATATAAGGGGCAGCACAAGATATAATGCATAAGGTCATCTACTTCAGGACATCCCCTAATGCAAACACGTTCATTTGTTGGTATGCCTCTGTGTCTCTCATTTCTATAAGCAGAGTTTATTGTATTTAATCTTTTAGCAGTGCGGCATAAGAACTTCTGGACTTTGGCCGCTGCGGCAAAAACTACACGTAAACTGCATGTTTCCCGGGGGGGGGGGTGTTTGAAGGATCCAGAACACTTTTTTGACATCTGGTGGGATTTTATTTCCTATGTTTCTGACTTGGATGCTCATCATGTCTCAGTTATAAATTGGAATGTTTACTGTTCTTTCTTTCCTATTTACTGGGTGTTTGGTTTGTATATAGTATGACGTAATACCCTGTCAAGGGACGCGGGTGGCGCTGTGGGTTAAACCACAGAGCCGAGGACTTGCCGATCCGAAGGTTGGCGGTTTGAATCCCCGCAACGGGGTGAGCTCCCATTGCTCGGTCCCTGCTCCTGCCAACCTAGCAGTTCGAAAGCACGCCCAAGTGCAAGTAGATAAATAGGTTCCACTCTGGCGGAAAGGTAAACGGCGTTTCCGTGCGCTGCTCTGGTTCACCAGAAGCGGCTTAGTTCTGCTGGCCACATGACCCGGAAGCTGTACACCGGCTCCCTCTGCCAATAAAGCGAGATGAGCGCCGCAACCCCAGAGTCGTCCAAGACTGTACCTAATGGTCAGGGGTCCCTTTACCTTTACACTGTCACTGCACGTCTGGGTTGTTAACAATGTGATATGTTATTATATATATCTCTCTCTTATAATAACCAGCACCTTGAAGATTGAGCATAGATTTCCTGTGGAAGAAGGTCAGCTCACTCTTCGCTGCATGGGGGACGATCCACGCCTTGCAAAACCTCCTCCACCAGAACATCACCAAGCCGGCAAACAGGACCAACACGGAAAGGAGGACAGCAACCAAGAGGGCGAAATCAGTCTCCCCTGAAAAGCCAAAGACACACAGAGGAATGGGCAAGGGATGAGAGGAAAGGGTGAGGAAGAAATATACAGTGGTACCTCGGGTTAAGAACTTAATTCGTTCTGAAGGTCCGTTCTTAAGCTGAAACTGTTCTTAACCTGAAGCACCACTTTAGGTAATGGGGCCTCCTGCTGCCGCCACGCCACCGGAGCACGATTTCTGTTCTCATCCTGAAGCAAAGTTCTTAACCCAAGGTATTATTTCTGGGTTAGCGGAGTCTGTAACCTGTGCTCCGGCGAAATCGTGCTCCGGCGGTGCGGTAGCAGCAGGAGGCCCCATTAGCTAAAGTGGTGCTTCAGGTTAAGAACAGTTTCAGGTTAAGTACGGACCTCCGGAACGAATTAAGTACTTAACCCGAGGTACCACTGTAGTTGTTCATCTCTTTGATAACTCTATAGATATAGATTTGGGGGATTTTTAGTTGAGGCAATTGGCTGTTCCAGGCCCTTGACTCCTCAACACTAGACTACTGTAATGCATTGTGGGCTGCCCTGGGAGACAGTCAGGAAAACTTTACTTGATCCAGAACGCGGGCACTAGGGTTTTCCCTGGGAGCCAGGGGATCAGATCAGATCACACTGATCTTCCTTGCCAACTGTTTTTAAATATTGTGTCTCTGAAATTACTGTGACTCGCCCTGGTACTTCACAGGAGGGAAGGGTGACTGGGCAGCGCTTTTCTTGACCCAGCGACTGGATCTACTCAGTGCAGAAGTTCAGCTTTTCGAAACACAAAAACACAGTTCTAAACAAAGTCACAGAAAAGAGAAAAGCAGCCGACGTTTTTGCAGTTTGCTTTCGGGAAAGAGTGGACAGTGCTTTGAAGACGCAGACCCCATTGGCACTTTAATTTTAAAGCTGCATTGTACCACTTTAAACAGGATTTCCCAGGATTCTTTGGGTGGAAGCCATGAATAATAATAATAATTTATTATTTATACCCCGCCCATCTGGCTGGGTTTCCCCCAGCCACTCTGGGCGGCTTCCAGCAGAATATTAAAATACAATGATTCATCAAATATTAAAAGCTCCCCTAAACAGGGCTGACTTCAGATGTCTTCTAAAAGTCCAATACAGTGGTACCTCGGGTTAAGTACTTAATTCGTTCCAGAGGTCCGTTCTTAACCTGAAACTGTTCTGAACCTGAAGCACCACTTTAGCTAATGGGGCCTCCTGCTGCCGCTGCGCTGCCGGAACACAATTTCTGTTCTCATCCTGAAGCGAAGTTCTTAACCTGAAGCACTGTTTCTGGGTTAGCGGAGTCTGTAACTGAAGCGTATGTAACCTGAGGTACCACTGTAGTTGTTTATTTCTTTGACATCTGATGGGAGGGTGCCATGACTGCTTAAAGAGGTACGATACAGCTTTAAATTTACAGCACAGACGAAGCCTAACTCTTGATTTGTCCCCGTACCTCCCTGCCAACCAACACCATTTGCAAACCTCTGTTTGGTTTCTTCACAGGCAAGATGTGGGTGGAGTTGAATCCGCCTCTGCCTTCGCTGACCGTTGTGCTGAGGACGCTGTCCAGCGAGGGGTCCAGGTGAATGGCAGTTGTGCCCTCCGGCGGTGTTGACTGCCCAGACGAGTGGTCCAGGCAGCTTTCGTCCTGTGTGGTTGCCCCTTGGCCCTGAGGGACCTTGTTTAACTTGGCACAACTGGGGGCGGATGAGAAGGAGGGAGAGAAAAAAACACTTTTATCACATGTGGTGGACCTGTCCCAAGGTGAAGGACTTCTGGGAAATGATATATAATGAGATGAAAAGAATGTTGAAATATACATTTATAAAGAAACCAGAAGCATTTTTACTGGGCATTGTAGGAAGTGATATAAACAGGAAAGAATGTAAGCTGTTTTTATCATAGCTGACAGATTTGAAAATAAGGGACCAGCAGCCTCAAAAATAAGGGATCAGCAGCCAAAATAAGGGATTTTCCAGGCACAGGTATGTTCAGCTTCTGAGCCCCTCCGAGCCAAAGGCAGAAAGCCCAGCCAGCAGCCAAACGAAGCCTCAAGCGGTGGTTCCCACAGCGCAGCAACCCGGCAAAGGGGATGCAGCAAGGAAAACCACCAGCGCTGGGAAGCGCTGAGCAAAGGCGAGTCCCCAGGAATGCATAAGAAGTGGTCAAAATGGTGGATCATCAGAGGTGCTGATGGAACTCCCCCCCAAAAAAAAGATTGTATAAGTGGTGAAGTTTTGTGGTATGTATTATAATTTATATGTTAAAATTAATAAAAATTATTATTTTTAAAAAAGGAATATTAGGTCTTGAATTACCCAAGAAAGATGTAAAGGTATTTTTGTATGCCACAACTGCTGCTCGAATTTTAATAGCCACGAAGTGGAAAACACAAGGATTACCAACTGTGGAAGAATGGCAGATGAAGATGATGGACTTTATGGAGCTAGCTGACCTCACTGGAAGAATCCACGACCAGAAAGAAGGGGAATATCAAGAAGATTGGAAGAAATTTAAAGACTATTTGAATAAATATTGTAACATTAAAAATTAGAAGTTACCTGAAAGCACTAAATAGGCCTAGGATTAAATTATGATTTAATTAAATAAATGAGACTTAGAATGTTAAGAAAAGTTAAGAAATTTGACTATAATTGGAAAATTGTTTTTGAAGAATGATATTGGAAAACTGCTACATTCAGTTACAAGGAAATTCAGATGGGAGGGACTAGAGGAATCATAGAATCAAGAGGTGGTAAATATGAAACAATTTTATTATGTTAACTTTAAATGTACAAAGTTGGGATATAATATTGTGAAATTAGAAACATAATAACTGAAAGATACAGTAAGTTAAGAAACAAGGTAACAAATTGCTGAAACTTTTATGGCAAAGAACGCAGAGTCGTGAGGATGTGGGGAAGTCCATTTGGAATATTGGAAAAACTGTTGAAAGTTGGATTGTAATAATCTTTTTATCATTTTTCTTTGTTTTTGTTTCTAGTATTTTCTTGCTTCGATCTTGTGTCTATGACCCTAAGAAAAGAAACTCAATAAAAAATATTTAAAAATAAAATAAAATAGAGGAATCATAGAATCATAGAGTTGGAAGAGACCACAAGGGCCATCGAGTCCAACCCCCTGCCAAGCAGGAAACACCATCAGAGCACTCCTGACATATGGTTGTCAAGTCTCTGCTTAAAGACCTCCAAAGAAGGAGACTCCACCACACTCCTTGGCAGCAAATTCCACTGTCGAACAGCTCTTACTGTCAGGAAGTTCTTCCTAATGTTTAGATGGAATCTTCTTTCTTGTAGTTTGGATCCATTCCTCTGTGTCCGCTTCTCTGGAGCAGCAGAAAACAACCTTTCTCCCTCCTCTATGTGACATCCTTTTATATATTTGAACATGGCTATCATATCACCCCTTAACCTCCTCTTCTCCAGGCTAAACATGCCCAGCTCCCTTAGCCGTTCCTCATAAGGCATCGTTTCCAGGCCTTTGACCATTTTGGTTGCCCTCCTCTGGACACGTTCCAGTTTGTCAGTGTCAAGCAATATGTTTATGAGCTTGGAAGTTTAATTAATTAATTAATTTGTATTGTTTATGTGTTTGTTGTTACATCTTTTGTTGTTACTCGTATTATTCGTTTTGATTTTTGTTTCATTTGTTTTACAGTATGTGTTATATTTCTTTGAAACTCAATAAATATTATTGTAAAAAAAGAGAGAGAGAGAGAAACCCCAATACAACAAGAGAAGTGTTACAAACGACCCTGTAAGGTAGTCCACTAGGTTTTAGTTTTTATCCACAGGATTGGACCCTCTATAACAGGCACCCCCAAACTCAGCCCTCCAGCTGTTTTGGGACTACAACTCCCACCATCCCTGACCACTGTTAGCTAGGGATGATGGGAGTTGTAGTCCCAAAACAGGTGGAGGGCCAAGTTTGGGGATGCCTGCTCTATAAGTACACACTAGATACAGTATTGTAGAGGAAGTTATCACTCACTCGGTGTCAGGCTTGCAGGTTTGGGTGCTGGAATCTTCATCAGAGAAAGTACCCGCAGGGCATTCTTCACAGATGGTATCTGTGTCAGGGGTGCCTGATGAAAATAATGATAAAAGACGACTGTAATTTAGGGATGCGGGTGGCACTGTGCGTTAAACCACAGAGCCTAGGACTTGCCGATCAGAAGGTCAGCGGTTCGAATCCCCATGACGGGGTGAGCTCCCGTTGCTCGGTCCCTGCTCCTGCCAACCTAGCAGTTCGAAAGCACATCAAAGCGCAAGTAGATAAATAGCTACCGCTCCGGTGGGAAGGTAAACGGCATTTCCGTGCACTGCTCTGGTTCGCCAGAAGCGGCTTAGTCATGCTGGCCACATGACCCAGAAGCTGTACGCCGGCTCCCTCGGCCAATAAAGCGAGATGAGCGCCGCAACCCCAGAGTGGAGGTCCGTTCTTAACCTGAAACTGTTCTTAACCTGAAGCACCACTTTAGCTAATGGGGCCTCCTGCTGCTGCCACCGCGCCGCCGGAGCACGATTTCTGTTCTCATCTTGAAGCAAAGTTCTTAACCTGAAGCACTATTTCTGGGTTAGCAGAGTCTGTAACCTGAAGCGTATGTAACCTGAGGTACCACTGTACTAAGGTCCCTCTGAAGAAGGACACCAAGGAGCAGCTGTTGTTTAGGAACACTGGAACACACACATTGCAAGGAAATAGTGTGCAGGCTCTGCTACGTAACATTCATGGAAAACACAAATTAGGTCACCCTGAAAGGAGATACTGGAGCACCCCAAATCATTTACCCATAGAGGAGAGAACTATTGATGGCTACTAGCCACAAAGGCTATGCTCTACCTCTGGGTTTCCCTTTGTGCCACTTGCCTAGAAAATAGCAGATCTTGCTGAAAGGAGATTGGCACTGATTGTCGAAATGCATCCCTAATTTTTATTATTGCATAATGAGGGTTATTGCCCCCGTAAGTAGGAAAATTTCACCCAAGGGCTCATAACATGAGAATAAATATGGCAGGATCTCCCCTTCCGCCCAATGGCAGAACACGTTTCCTCCCGAAAGCAAAATCCTGACAGGGTCTCAAGTGCTTTACGATACGATAATCTTTATTGTCATTGTCCGATACAGAACAACGAAATTGAAAAAATCTACATCAGACATTCAAAAACCAACAAGCCTGCTATCCCAGCTATCCCAGCCTGGTTAACCCCCTAAAAACTCTGATACCCCATAATTAAATACTCCCACAGAGACTACCTTATACTGCGTTTAAAACCAAAATCGCATTTGGATAAAAACTGTTGCTCAGGCGGCTAGTCCTAGTCTTTATAACCCTGTACCTTCTTCAAGAAGGTAGAAGCTGAAAGAGATCATTTCCGGGGTGCGCACTATCCTGTGCTATCTCTGCAGCTTTCTTATGGCAACTGGAAGCATAGATTTGATCCAAGGTGGGAAGAGTGCAGCCAATTATTCTCTCCGCAGTCTTTACAACCCTGGACAGCATTGTTTTCCCCCTGACCGTGCAGCTCCCAAGACACACACACAGACCATAAGTTAATACACCCTCAACAGCACAATACACTCTGAACAGTACCTACCTTTGGTCTTGACCCCAGAGCCCGGCTTGCAAGTGGTCAGCGGGACGCAGGTAATACAGGTGCCCGTTGATGGCTCCTTACAGTACCATCCAGGCTGGCATTGGCACTCCCGGTTGGTATGGTTGGTGCAAGGACGTTTTTCTACTAGGTGGCGGTCTGTTGGAGAGGACCCAAACAGATGCTGTTTTAGTCCACAACGCCCCTGCAAAGTAGGTTAGGCTGAGAGGAAGCGACTGAACGAGGTCTGCCCAGCGAGCTTTGTGGCCAAATGGGATTTTGGACCCAGATTCTAGATCAGGGTGGTCTAACCTCAGGAAAAACTTTCTGGGCATCAGAAAAAAACAAAAACCTATCTGACAGTAAGAGCTGTTTGACCGTGGAACGGTCCCTCTCTGGAGGTTGTGGACTCTATTGCAACAGATCAATAAAGATTAGGCTTACTAGCTGCTTTGCTTCTCAATATTCCCTGGTTGGCCTCTGTTATTCTCCCCTACCAAATAGAGAACCTACTTAAGGACTCTATATGGGCTCTTAGGTACCCCATAAGGGAAAGGGAGCAGTATTTTTCTTATACCATGCTGAAGTCTTTACCATGGACTTTGACACTTGAGGGACTGGGCTGGTGCAGGAGGAGGTGAGTCCAGGCGCCAATCGAAAAGGCAGTGTGCTGCAAAGGGCAGCGGGTGTCCGGGGGCAAATACCTGGCAGGCACTGCTTACAAGCCTCGCAACGGGGCGTGACGTGTGCATCGTTCAGGTAGTGGTCGGCTCGGCACAGGTTCTTTTTGCAGTCCGTGAGATTTGCAGGGCAAGTCACAGTCTGGGTGTATCCTAAAATTAAAATTAAAATTGAGAGGAAGCCACTCTTAACCCAGTCCCAGGGCCTTGCAGATCCCACTGTCAGAGGGCTGGAGAGGACTCTTTAGTTTTCTCCAAACGTTGCTTTTCTGTGCATTTAAAATCTGGTTTATTGTCTTGTGAGGATGATGTTGCGGTAAGACAGGCCAGCTGCCTGTTAAAGCCCCTGGTAAATACATCTCTGCTGGCACATATTTTTGATCAGAATATAGTGGTACCTCTGGTTACAAACTTAATTCGTTATGGAGGTCTGTTCTTAACCAGAAACTGTTCTTAACCTGAAGCACCACTTTAGCTAATGGGGCCTCCCGCTGCTGGCGCACAATTTCTGTTCTCATCCTGAGGTAAAGTTCTTAACCCGAGGTACTACTTCCGGGTTAGCGGAGTCTGTAACCCAAAGTGTTTGTGACTCGAGGTGTTTGCAACCCAAGGTGCCACTGTAAAAGGAGAGGTTTTTAATTAAAAGTTTGCTTGCCGTGCAGCAAGTTTCAAAATTGTAGATCCTGCGAGATTCAGGATCCTGAACTTTATTAACCCATCGGGGGGCTCCTTTAAGAGTTGATGACACCCAGATCTATCTCTCTTTTAAATCAGAACCAGTGAAGGTAGTGAAGGTCCTGTGTGAGAGTCTGAAGGTGGTTGGAGGATGGATGCCGGACAACAGATTGAGGTTGAATCCTGACAAGAAAGAAGTACTGTTTTGGGGGGACAGTACTCTAGTTATCTCCCGCTTGGACTACTGCAATGTGCTCTATGTGGGGCTACCTTTGAAGGTGACCCGGAAACTACAACTAATCCAGAATTCAGCAGCCAGACTGGTGACTGGGAGCGGCCGGCGAGACCATATAACACCAGTCTTGAAAGACCTACATTGGCTCCCAGTACGTTTCCGAGCACAATTCAAAGTGTTGGTGCTGACCTTTAAAGCCCTAAACCGCCTCAGTCCTGTATACCTGAAGGAGCGTCTCCACCCCCATCATCCAGCCCGGACACTGAAGTCCAGCGCCGAGGGCCTTCTGGCGGTTCCCTCATTGCGAGAAGCAAAGCTACAGGGAACCAGGCAGAGGGCCTTCTCGGTAGTGGCTCCCGCCCTGTGGAACGTCCTCCCTTCAGATGTGAAGGAAATAAGTAGCTATCATATCTTTAAAAGACATCTGAAGGCAGCCCTGTTTAGGGAAGTTTTTAACATTAAAAAACAATACAGCATTAAACATTTGATTGGAAGCTGCCCAGAGTGGCTGGGGAAACTCAGCCAGATGGGCGGGGTATAAATAATACATTATTATTATTATTATTATTATTATTATTATTATTATTATTCCCTCCCTCCACTGACATGACTCAGAAATCTCCTTCCCAGCCTTATAGGGGGCAGTGTTAGGTCCTGCAAAGCCTGTACCTGCTGCTTGCAGTGACATAGCCCAGGCTGAAACTGACCAACTCTGCAGGAAAAACAAAGCCTTAAAAGGGGTCCTGACTGGATTATACATCTCTATTTCAGCACCCAGGACTAGAAGGGGAACACCCTTCTATTTAACACCAGCCCCTGACGGCGCGCCGTTCAAACCCAACAGAAAAAAGAACCGTCAGAAGGAGAAAATGTCAGAAATTTCCTCTAGAAAGACAGTAAAAACACCCCCCACCCACAGAGTTCTCTTAAGTTCCTCGAGGGGAGTTTTGGGGCTTGGCTTCCAAGGCCGCAGAGTTTGCAAACTTTGGTGAGTCACCCAGCTCACCTCAGACAGCCCCCCAAAAGCACCATATTTCCGGAGGGAGGGAAGCTCCCCCTTCTGGCGTGACAGACCACATCTCTCTGGTTTTAATGAAGAAATCACAACTAAGACTGCTCACGTCGGTTTCTGAGAGTTCAATAACTAAAGCACAGCAAAATCTCCTTGCCCACATCTGTGCACCCGACCACTTCGATCCACGGATCCGGCCCTGTTACAACTGCTGCATAGCAGTTCCTTCCACATTTGCAAGAACTTCATTTTTAGTGTGGCAGAAGCCGCACTTTGGAACTCCCTGCCACTTGACATCAGGCAGCCGTCTTCGCTGTGCTTTTCTCGGCACCTGCTAAAAATATCCTTGTTCAGACGAGCGTGCCCAGATGTTTAGAACGTGTGTTTTTAATTCATTGCTGGTTTTAATTCCGCTCTCCCAGCGATCTAATTGCTTCTGCTAATCATCTTACTGCTTTATTCTTCTTCTCAACCACCTTGAAGTTCTCTACAACCAAGCGGTATGTAAGTTTTATGAAATTAATCTGAGAGAATAAATAAGGAGGAATAATGATATTTAAACTCATTTCCAATGTTGCACTTTTACAGTGTTATGAGCTGACCTGGGAACAGGTGCTGAGAGGGGGATAGAAAGACAGTCAGCAAAGGGTTAAGGACCTCGGGCCAGAAAGACATGTGTGGCCCTCCAGGATTCTCTCCCTGGCCCTCAGGACTCTCCGCAGGCCACACCCTCTTCTATCCAAGCCACACCCTCTCATTGATACTGCTTCCTGCCCCAATAGATTTTGCCAGACTGGAATGTGCCCTTTGCAGATCCCCTTAATCTCTATGATTCCAGAGGTACTGACCTGAGGGACATTGGTAGCAGCACCGTAGGGGTTCTTTGTTGGACCCAATGACCAGCCCCAAGCAAGGCAAGTGACCCGATCCCTAGAAAGGCAGAAAGACAAAAGCCATAATTAAAAGCTGAGAGGCTGCATGTTTCTCCTGCGTTGAGCAGGGCGGAGTCTGTGTTTCTAAATACATCCAAAATAATGCACAAGACATTGAAATATGGTGGAACTCTCCACATAATGACCAGGACTTGAGTGTTGTTTCTCGAAAGAAAGGGGAAATAGTTTCAGGCGCGGTTTTAGGAGGGGGAGATGACTGGTGGTTTTGTCGTGGTTTCTATTTTGATTCCATCTGAGGCCTTAAAAAGAATGAGGTGGTCGGGGGGGGCAAAACAGCTGATGGAACTCCCTGCCACAAGATCTGGCAAAACCCATGTGCTTTAGAAAGGGTTAGACAAATTCTTTAGCCCCTAAGAAAAGCCTGGTTGCTGGATCAGGCCAGGCAGTGACCCCTCTAGTCCAGCATCCTGTTCCCCTCAGTGCTCATTCCTGACCATCAGCTCTGTTTGCTAGCGCTGATGGGATTTGCAGTTCAGCAACATCTTGCGGGCCAAAGCTTCCCCACTCTATCATGTCGCTCGCCTTTTCTCTAAGCTAAAAAGCCTCAGACCCTGCAAACTTTCCTTGCAGGGGACGAAAGGAACATTCTGGAACCGGTGTAAACAGAAAGGCGTACAAAGCCTTAGTCACAAACTCGTGCAGTGTGCAGCAGCGTTTACTCTCAGGGAAGCAAGCGTAGGATTTCAGCCACTGTGAAGCATCTATTTCTTTTTTAAACCAAAATTATTTTATTAAACTTCAAGAAATTCCACATACAATTCCAATACGTATTTTTTAAAAAATCTTTATATATTATTGACTTCCCACCCCATTTTCCATGATGCTTTTCTTATCCCCTCTTTGCTGCATCCCGTCTTCTCCCCTCATTTTACATCATAACAACACAATAGTCTCTCATTCTTTCTGTTGCTCATAATTCAAATCCTGCTCGACGATTCTTCAAACCATAATATTCCGTGAAGCATTTATTTCTGAGACGTCTCATCTCCTTCTGAGGCCCTCCGAGAGCCCTGATTCTGGCTCACCCGTAAGAGAAAAGGTAGGACGTTTCTCTAGATTCGTCTCTGAATTAAAGACGCTGAGTTTGATTTTTCTGGATGACTGGAAAAGTTGAGACTTGAGTCAAAACAAGACATACTATCAAGAGATGAAAGGGTTTGGTAGCAACAGACGTGACATTTCAATCCCTCAAAAAAAAAAAAAAAAATGAGGTCAGTTTGGCAGAGATTGTTAAATAATGACACAATTGTAGACATATGTGTGCATCTTGAAGACTTGGGCAAGTTTATCTGCTTCTCTGCTGTTCCTCAGAACCAAAGAAGAGTCTGGCTGTCAGATCAGACTGACACATAGCTGTCAACTTACAGATTTGAAAATAAGGGATCAGCAGCCAAAATAAGGGATTTTAGTCAACCAGCAGCCAAACGAAGCATCAAGCGGTGGTTCCCACAGCGTATCAACCCGGCAAAGGGATGCAGCAAGGAAAACCACCGGCACCTCTCCGCTGGGAAGCGCTGAGCAAAGGCGAGTCCCCAGGCAACGCGGCCAATTTGATCAGCACAAGGCATGCAAGCTCCACCCCCCAGTCGTTCTTAGACTCCTTATTGGGTGAGCAACGCTGCCAAGCAGCACAGTTGGAGCCTCCCTCCTCCCTGGCCGGCAGGGAGAGAAGGAGAGGAGCTGCTTCCTTTGAAACCCGGGAAATTTAAGGGACATCATGAATAAGGGACAGCAGCGGGACATGGTGCTGGGATAAGGGACTGTCCTGCCAAATAAGGGATACTTGACAGCTATGGACTGACAACAGCCCTTCAAGTCAAGCAAAGGTGCCAGCCAGATTGCCTAGCTGCCTCGCCTCAAAAGGGATATTGCTGAATTGGAAAAGGATCAAAATCATTGAGGAGGGATGGAGCAATTCCCCTATGAAGAAAACTTGCAGCGCTCGGGCCTTTTTAGTTCAGAGCAGTTTGTTTCCGCAGTGTGGGTCCCCAGCTGTTTTTGGAGTACAACTCCCATCATCCCTAGCTAACAGGTCAGGGATGATGGGAATTGTAGTCCAAAACCAGTCGGAGACCCAAGTTTGGGAAACCCTGGTTTAGAGAAAGGGCAAGAAAGAGGTGATATGATAGGCAGGAGATCCCTGCCACCAATGTGGACTGTTTTAAATTGTTGTTGTTGTTTAGTCGTTTAGTCATGTCCGACTCTTCGTGACCCCCTGGACCAGAGCACGCCAGGCACTCCTGTCTTCCACAGCCTCCCGCAGTTTGGTCAAACTCATGTTGGTACCTTCGAGAACATTGTCCAACCATCTCGTCCTCTGTCGTCCCCTTCTCCTTGTGCCCTCCATCTTTCCCAACATCAGGGTCTTTTCCAAGGAGTCTTCTCTTCTCATGAGGTGGCCAAAGTATTGGAGTCTCAGCTTCAGGATCTGTCCTTCCAGTGAGCACTCAGGGCTGATTTCCGTAAGAATGGAGTGGTTTGATCTTCTTGCAGTCCATGGGACTCTCAAGAGTCTCCTCCAGCACCATAATTCAAAAGCATAGGATTAGCCAAATTCATGGATGAGGCGAGGGCTATTGAGGGATGCTTCTGCTCTGCCTCCACAAACGGGAATGTTGTAAACAAAAATCTGCCCTTTTTTTTCCTTATGGGGTATCCAAGAGCCCATATAGAGTCCTTATGTAGGTTCCCTATTGGTAAGAGAAAATAACAGAGGCCAACCAGAGAATATTGAGAAGCAAAGCAGCTAGTAAGCCTAATCTTTATTGATCTGTTGCAATAGAGTCCTCACTCACCACACTCAGGAGGGAGGAGGGACCCAGAACAATGGTGTGCAAGCCCTTATATAAAGGTAAAGGTACCCCTGCCCGTACGGGCCAGTCTTGACAGACTCTAGGGTTGTGCGCCCATCTCACTCTAGAGGCCGGGGGCCAGCGCTGTCCGGAGACACTTCCGGGTCACGTGGCCAGCGTGACAAGCTGCATCTGGTGAGCCAAAGCCGCACACGGAAACGCCGTTTACCTTCCCGCTTGTAAGCGGTCCCTATTTATCTACCGGTACTTGCACCCGGGAGTGCTTTCGAACTGCTAGGTTGGCAGGCGCTGGGACCGAGCAACAGGAGCGCACCCCGCCGCGGGGATTCGAACCGCCGACCTTTCGATCGGCAAGCCCTAGGCGCTGAGGCTTTTACCCACAGCGCCACCCACGTCCCTTAAGCCCTTATATAGACTTTTGAAATTGCCACCCTGTAGATCAAGACCACCCCCAGAAACATCATACGTACATCACAGAAAGGGCGGTCTACAGCAGAAATCTTAGTGCTTTGTTTACCTCCTGTCTGCCAGGTTACCTGTTTAATGGTCACTTGATTGGATTGCCTGGGGAGCCTGGCCAGTTTTTTGTAATGATAAACACTTAGTTCCTGAGCCAGGTCAGGGTCACACCTTATTCCTTTCTTAAATGTGCCCTTAAGAGGAAAGAGACAATGGGGAGGTTTCCCACTTTGACCATGCAGAGAAATAACTGAGGTCAGTTTCGGAATAAAAAATGGTTCCAGGTCGGTCTTCCTATGCTGATCTATGTACGTGCTTGGTTGGTACATTTATGAACATTTAACATATATCTGAATTATGGTGCTGGAGGAGACTCTTGAGAGTCCCATGGACTGCAAGAAGATCAAACCTCTCCATTCTTATGGAAATCAGCCCTGAGTGCTCACTGGAAGGACAGATGCTGAAGCTGAGGCTCCAATACTTTGGCCACTTCATGAGAAGAGAAGACTCCCTGGAAAAGACCCTGATGTTGGGAAAGATGGAGGGCACAAGGAGAAGGGGACGACAGAGGACAAGATGGTTGGACAGTGTTCTCGAAGCTACCAGCATGAGTTTGACCAAACTGCGGGAGGCAGTGGAAGACAGGAGTGCCTGGCGTGCTCTGGTCCATGGGGTCATGAAGAGTCGGACACGACTAAACGACTAAACAACAACAAGACCTCAAAATTCCTATCACAGGAGGCAGCAATGCTACTGAAGACCACTTGCTGGAAACCACAGAAAAGGAGAATTGCTCTTGTGCTCAGATCCTGCTTGCGGGTTTTCCACAGGCATCTGGTTTGCCACTAGGAAAACAGGAAGCTGGACTAGGTGGGTCCTGATCCAGCAGGCTCTACTTATGCCCTTACGCAGTGGCGTAGCATGGGGGGTGCCAGGGGTGCCGGCCGCACCGGGCGCAACATTTTGGGGGGCGCGTTTGGCCGGCCCCCCTCGAGGAAGCGGGAACCTCTCCAAGGCACAGCGTGCCGTCGGTAGAGGAAAAAAGCCGCGCAGCAGCAGCAGCAGCAAAGTCGGGAGGAGGAGGAGGTGGAGCGAGCCTGCTAATTCCTTGCTGGGAATTAAGCGGCTCAAGACTCTCTCCACTGGCCGCCTGGGTAGTGAGCCGAGCCGAGCAGGGAGTCTGGCGAGGGGGCGGGAAGAGACTTTCCCCCTTTTTTCCACCTCGCCTGGTCAAAAAGGAGAGCGGAGTCTCCTCAGGGCGCCCTCAGGCAGGGCAGGGAAAGGCAAGCAGAGCGAGGAGGAGAGAGGGGGGAGGGGGGGAGCAGCCAGGAAACGCCGCGGTGTGGAGGAGGAATCAATTAAGGAGAGAAAGCGAAAAGCCTTGGAGAAAGGGGAAAAGGAAAGAAAAGAGGCAGCTCCAGGAGAGCGCGGGGGAAAGAGAAGCCTCGCTGCTGCTGCTTGGGAGAGTAAATTACTGTACTTGCCTTGCCCCGGGTTAGGGGGCGCAAATTACTTGCCTTGCCCCGGGTTAGGGGGCGCAAATTACTTGCCTTGCCCCGGGTGCTGATAACCCACGCTACGCCGCTGCCCTTACGTTCTCTGTGGGAAAACAGCAAGCAGGACTTGAGGACCACTGTGCTCTCCCCGTTTGCAACTACCAACAACTGGAATTGAAGGTCAGGCTGCTGGTCCAACCTGCGGAGAT